AATGCACACGAGAAACCTGGTTCACATGTTTACAGGCCCTGCAATTGTGGTCACTTTACAACTTGCATTTACATGCAGCCTAGTAATTAGACGTCTCCAATATACCCCAAATCATATTAGCTCATAATTAGTTTACTTTTGGTCAGAGGCGGGCTTGAGGTTTAATTATTTTGGTTTCATGAGAGCGCAGCTACAGTTTGGGATTTTTCAGACGAGTCACTCTTGTCTTGTACTTACACATGTGTGGTAAGAGACTTTTGAGTTTAGAAAGTCTGAAAAATCCAGTTCTCCAGCAGAAATCATGCCAATAATCATCTCTTTCTCATCAGAAATAAAGTCACTGCTAGGGGCTGACTGCTCTGAGCGTTGGACACACTGGCCTATCTCACCGTCTTTACAGCTGCCACTAATGTCAGGTTATGTAAATGGGAGGTTAAACAATCAGTTACCATATGTGGAAATAAAGTCGGGGCTATGCAGAGCAGATGGCCGAATGGCGCTTTGACAGAAAAAAAAAAAAAATGGACTAGCGCAGCACCGCAATGCTTAGTTGATTAAATATGGCCAGAAATGTAAATGATTTGGCAAGTATACATATAATAGCTGATTAAATAAGTATTTTCTGGTTGCAGTTTCTTCAGCGTGAGGTTTTGCTGCTGCTACTCTGTTTTATATCAGCATCTTGGGGTTTTTACTGCTGATCAGGCGAAACGGGTAAAAAAAAAAACGAAGATCTCACCTTGGATTTGGAGAAACTGGAAATTCTTCAGTTTTTTTCTGACACTTTATAGACAAAATGGAGAAAATAATCATATAAATGGTGGTTAGTTGCCGCTCTATGAGGACGCTGGGTTTTGTCGAAGACAACGTCTCTGGCTGCCGAATGATCATCTCGTCAGACTTTTATGTAAAATGACTCGTCTGTGCTGTATTACATGACTGATATGTGCAGTTGTTGACTGATGTGGCCGATATTTGACCCACATCAATGCCGATATAAAATAAAATACAGCAACTAAAAAAAAAAAGAAAAAAAACAGAAATACGACACATTTCTGAACATATTTAACATCACTACCGCATGTCTTATTATTGTTTGTTAGCTTAGCATCGACTTCCCTCCCTCTGCTTCTCCTGCTCAGTGTGCCACATGCTCAGTTTTCCCTCTGCCTCTGTTAGCAATAATAATATTTGTAATAAACGCAGTGGCGATGAGGTTTACTGAAAGGGAAGCACGGCTCTGCACCGTGGAAAATGCCCCATTAGCTGTGGTGGCTAGTCGGGCCCCAGCAGTGCAGACGAACCCAGCGTAACCTCTTGCAGACTCCCCCTGGCTATGAGCCGACGGCAATTACCTCAAAAGATATGTCTGACACATATCTCTTTGCAGTTTCAACAAATGCATCTGATCATTAACTGATTGAGAAGTGTACATCCTAATCCAGTCAGATCAGCTTGTCTGCAGAGGAACCTGCTGCTTTTGGGTGATGCATTGCTTCAGATGTATTATATTCAAAACAAAGCATCACCACGACACCACCGCGGCATGCCAACATGCTCTCCGCCATGGCGGTTGGATGCTAAAAACACCTCTGGTGCAGCTTAAAAGCAAAATAAAAAAATGACCAGCAGAATCCCGAGGCCATGTTCGCAGTCAGAGGCATGTTGGCCGCTCCTCGGCGAGCTGCGGCAGACGGTTTAAAAACACAGCCTCTGTTTAGCCAGATTCTAACATCAACACAGCAGCAGCGGACTTTCCTCCAAAGCTATGCGGACTAGACGGCTGGCAGCTCGATGTGCCACTGACACAAATAAACATCAGCGCAGGCCACAAATAAATAGCTCGCTTCCGGTGTGCAGCTGAGCATCTGGCACGCGCATCAGCGAGCCAACACACATGGAAAGAGTCATTTTTAAAGATGTTGAGCCACTACTGTAGGAATACTGTATCCGGTATATATTTTCTATCTGTGCTCTTTTATAGTGATGCTGCAAGACGTCGCTGCCTCTGAGACATGACTATATACAGCCTGTTGCTGTGACAGCTCCGGGTTAAGACCACAGGCCTCTGGAGAGCGAAGGCCTCTCACATCTGCACGGCTCTAAAGCAGCTGGATGTAACTCAGAAATAATTGCTTCCTCTACAACGTCCAGGAAAGCATGATGTGTGTCCTATCTTCACGACTCCTCCCTGCAGGGACGGCAACTAAATCAACATTTTAGGGCCATTTATCATCAGTTAACTTTGTAGTCCTTTCTTCGTAGTACGTGAGGGCAACATGAAAGAGCAGGTAGGTTAGTCTGATGCTGGCAGGTAGCAGAGCTACAGTGGCAAAGCTATCTACCATTCAACACACCGAGAACACAGGATTGGACCATCACCTACGAAGCATGAGACCGAAGCCATGTTTTGATGTAAATATAAACTGCTCGAAATGTACAGAGCACATGTATGGTCAGCGGAGAAGAGGACGACGCTGGAGGCATCGTTTCAAAGGTTTTAATATTGTTTTTCCACCAGGAAAAGTGGTCAGCGCTCAGCTCCAGGGTTACCGCCGTGAATCCGAGCCGACCACAGTGACCGTGCTCTGCGAAGGAGCAAACTTCAAAGCTGATGCATCAACCTTTTGGACGTCTGGAGGGAAATTAGTCTTTCTTACTCTGTGGGTAGATTTATGGGCATTAGGGCACGTTGCTGCGTTTACAAAAAACTTAAGAAATAACAAATCAATTGCAGAAAACAATCT